GAATTACTGAAATAAATCTACTTTTTCATGATATTCTAATTTTATGACCAGCACCTGTATATTAATAGGGACCCCAAAGTTCCTAAAAACAAGGGTCAAATTTTTTTTCCCTAAAATAAAAAGTCATGCCATAGAGGGTTAAATATGGATGAACTGAAATGTTTATAAAAAGAAATGCTTTTACAAGTTTTGAAAGCACTTAGAACCAGTAATCGATTGATAAACATTTAATCAAAAAAGTTGTAGGAAATCCATTACGAAATGTTGACCGTGGACAATAATATTTTTGCTTGAGTGTGTTTGTTTCTCTGTGGTGACAAAAATAACTATGAACAACTTACAACAAAGCTCTGGAAAGCTAATCACTTCTTTAGATAGACCAGTCGCATTGGGTGTATTTGCACAAAGTATCATTATCACCGATACCAGTCAGAAAGGAAACTGGTGATACTGAACATCACTTATGTAAGGGGCACTGGTGCACACGTCCAGCAGTCTCTTTGTGAGGGGTGGGGCGTACTCTGGTCACAAGTTTATCACGGGACCACTTAAAGACAAACAACCATTCACACTCAAGGGACAATTAGAGTAACCAATTAACTGTCTTTGGTCTGTGGGAGAAAGCTGGAGAACCCACAACACATGCATAGAGAGAACATGCAAACTCTATCCTTAAACATCCACAGCCAGGATTTGATCCAGCAACCTTCTTACTGCCAAGCAACAACTGAGCCACATAACATCTAGAACCCATTCAAATCAAGATGGTCCGTCACAGCGAATTTACAGAAGTCAGCATAAAAATGGCAAATTTAGACAATTTTACAAATATTGAGTTAAAATGTGCTGTAGCAGTAGCTCAACATTGTCCCCACGGTCTTCTGGTCATTTAGTTTTAAAATGCCTCTTTGAATCTAATTAAATCCCACCATGAGGAACTGCTTAGAGGTGCTCTCCCATTTGCAGCATCAACAGTGTCCAGTCTTCCTGGATGGCTTTCCAGGAATCATTTAAGAATAATTTGGTGCCTGATTATTCTGTAGAGCATTTTCCAGGCTTTGACGTTGGTCAAGAACATCTGGATCGTAATCTGCATCTTCCTGTGGTCGAATGTGATCCAAGTCCATTTACTCAAAATGAAGGATATCCATTCTCTATGTATGATGGGTGTATGGAAACTTCTGACTCCACTTGTGTTGACAGATCAGAGTGAGTTTATGCTTTAGTATTATTGATCCTGATTCACTAAATCTGTCATCAAAATTTGATTAAAACATATTTTATCTTTCAAGAAGCAAAATGTTTCTTATCACCTAATTGTTTTTTTATCTTCTTGTTAAATTCCTTTTTTCTCCTCTAAATTTAATAAACCATTTAATGAGGTTAGGACATTACTATTTTGGAGCACATGTCTGACAGAAAACCAAGGGTTTTACATTTGCAGACCAAAATTAAACCAATTTTTAAATGCTCTTCTAAATAGTAACCCAATTTGGTTTAGCTAATAACAGAATTTGGTTTGATGTCCTTACGTATCATTTCAGGAAAAATCAGGTATTAGATTTACTTCCCCAGATTTCAAATGATCAAACAGATCTCAGCCAAGTCACAAAAATGGAACAAGAAACAAAAACTGTAATACAAAAGCTGATCTAATTTTGCAATGAAACTTTGATTGTTAGATTTGTTCCACGTGAGGAATCTGTTTCATTTTAACATGACTGATGCTACAGATTGTAGTGGAAACATTTCGCCAGGGCAGAGATGCAGGAAATAAACAAAGTGGAAACTGTGTGGTCTCGGTCTCAGATTATTTAACAGAAAGATGCACATGCAAGGAATGAGCAGAGCAGAACAGACACAATCGAAGCGTCTGTCAAGCTTACGCTGACCCGGAAACAGGAAACAGACAATACTGTATAAGAGCGTCAGAGATATTCAGGAACCAATGATATAGTTACAAGTAAAACAGGCCATGAGATTATATGAGTACATACAGTATCGTAAAAATCATGAGAAACAGTTTATATAATGGCAGTTATCAAGCGATACAGAGCAGGACATGTCAAGGTAATATGCAGTTACGGAGTCAGAAGATATTTTCCATCACACAGATGAAACAAACAACTGCTTCTACCTGTCCCCAAGGCTGTGTACCGAGCCCTCTCCATTTAAACAACTGTGTACCTTCCCATCCATCCAATTCTAACCATGTGACAGCACGCTGGTTGAGTTCATCACAAGGCGGCCTAGAGAGGAGGTGGAACATCTTTGCCAACAACCTGCTGCTGAGCAACTCAAAAACAAAGGAGGTCACAGACTTCCAAAGGTCCAGAGTGGACCACCCCACCTCAGATAGAAAAACAGAGATGTAGCAGAGTGTCCTTCAGATTCCTAGACGTGTACGTAATGGAGAAGCTGACCTAGTTCAAAAACAGCAAAGAAGTGATGGTGAAGGTCTTGCAGAAACTGCAGTCCCTGAGGATCCTCAGGAAGATAAAGCAGTACACCGATGTCCCCCGTCACAGAGGGATTTGAACAGTGAATAGTGTTGTAGTCAAGGCCACCTAACCCAAGACCAAGACCACAGTGTCTCAAGACCGAGACAAGACCAAGACTTTTAGGGTTTGGACTAAGTCAAGACCTAGACCAAGGGAGGCCGAGACCGAGACGAGACCAAGAACCAGGAAAAAAAAAACTGGTGTCCTAAAAGACTGAGTATTTTGTACACATGTACAGTGGGGGAAAAGTTTTAGTCAGCCAATTGTACAAGTTCTCCCACTTAAAAATATGAGGTAGGCCTGTAGTTGACATCTTTAGACCTCAACTATGAGAGACAAAATGAGAAAACATATATAGAAAACCACATGATTTTTTAAAATAATTTATTTGAAAATTATGGTGGAAAATAAGAATTTGGTCAATAACAAACTACCCAGATTTCTGTCTCTCACAGATCTGTAACTTGTCTTTTAAGAGGCTCCTCTGTTCTCCACTCATTACCTGTAGTAATGTTTGAACTTGTTATCAATAAAAGACACCTGTTTACAACCTCAAACAGTCACACTCCAAACTCCACTATGGTGAAGACGAAAGAGCTGTCGGAGGACACCAGAAACCGAATTGTAGACCTACACCAGGCTGGGAAGACTGAATCTGCAATAGGCAAGCAGCTTGGTGTGAAGAAATCTACTGTGGGAGCAGTAACTAGAAAAAAAGAAGAAGACCTACAAGACCACTGATAATCTCCCTCGATCAGGAGCTCCACACAAGATCTCACCCTGTGGGGTCAGAATGATCACAAGAACAGTGAGCAAAAATCCCAGAACCACATGGGGGGAGGGGGACCTGGTGAATGACCTGCAGAAGGCTGGGACTAATATACAGTAACAAAGGCTACCATTAGTAACACACTACACCACCAGGGACTCAGATCCTGCAGTGCCAGACGTGTCCCCCTGCTTAAGCCAGTCCATATCCAGGCCTGCCTGAAGTTTGCTAGAGAGCATTTGGATATTTATGAATAATGTAGCCAAACTGTTTTACTTAAAATTTAGAAGACATGTTTTATCACTCCCAGAGAACCACTGCTTTCTTTCCTGGAGTGCTGCATGTGACTGAAGAGAGTGGGGATGGGTGACAGCTGGTAAATAGCAATGAGTCAGGTGTGGATTTGAATCAGTACTTTTTAAATCCAATGAAAGCAAGAATGTTAACTAATAAATTGGACAACAGTCTGGCTATTTAGTGATATTTCCACAGTTGTGGACTTGACTGGTCTTGAAATAAAACTCCGAGTCCTCAATGTCCGAGACCGAGACAAGACCGAGTTGTTGAGTCCGAGACAAGACCAAGACCATCAAAAAGTGGTCTTAAGACCAAGACCGGTTTCAAATACTACAACACTAAGAGTGAATGTTTGTAGTTTTTGAGATGAGTGTTCTTTTCTGAACTGGAATTAAATAGAGAATGCCAGCAAACCTTAGAGCAGACATTTCATGCTTTTAAAACCTTATTTTGTTTTGTGTATTAAAGTGGAGACCTGAGGTTGGGTGTGGATGAATAAATCTTCTGTCCTGGAAGTCAGATGTCCCTTAAACCAGATTAACAAGTTTCAGTCAGTGTGATCTTTGATGGTGGGAAGGTGCTGCCCTGCAGTCTCTCATCTCATAAGATTTGTGTTTGTTTGTTTGTTTGTTTGTTTGTTTGTTTGTGACAAGAAAGATGGAAAAGGGCATTTTGTGTTTGCTCCTAAATGCTTATAGCTGATCGAACAGACATCCACTCAGATGTTAAAGGCCTTAATTTATGAAGAATTTAAAGAATACTGTGAGACAATAAACCATATTGCTTAAAATATGTTGACATGGTAGCTTAAGGCTTTTAAAGTCCATGTTTTGAATCACATGTATTAAGACACTGCATGCGATTTTTCATATATATATATATATATATATATATATACTGTATATATAATATTTTTAATTTCACATTAGCCTCCACAACAAGTTAAATGCTTTGAGGAGATGTGTTCAGTGTAGCTGGCCATAACAAAGACTAGTCCTACATTTAAAGAAAAACTTATATACAACATATTTACAAACCAAACACACAAAATCAAGCACAACTACCTTTATGCACTAATCTTGGATTTAGCCATTAAGTTTACAAAGTTTTTATGACAAAAAATGTTAGATTTGCAGTTAACTTAGTACAAACGAACACGTGGTAGTTACCATCAATCACTGTTGTATTCAGCTGCAGGCCTTTATCCATCGTTTACATTTTTCCAGACTCTGTTTGGATTTAGGAAATGGAATAAACTCTATTCCGCCCACTAAACACTCTGGGTAACGCGTGTCGGAGTTGCATGTTCCTCACTGACAAAGTTAAACCATGTTTTATGATTATTTTTCAACTAATCTTTACGACCGCAACGCGTCCGCAACTATGAACTCCGACTGGATTGTCGGAGGTAAAATGGGTTCTGCTCCTCCAGGTAAGGGTGTTTCACTTTGGGACAAAATGTGACCCCCGATTGGTCAGTTACTGACAAACCTACATGATTGATTGACAGGTCGCGTCATGTCAATTATTTACATGAACCACAAATCTTTGGCAATATGGCAGGGACATTGCCATAAAAAATAAAAATAAAATTAGGCCATGCATCTCTGTTCTTTGTGACTTGGTCTTCCTGAAGTGGGCGGAGTCTTTGCTTGGGTTACCAGGTGAGAGGCTGGGCTGATCTAGGGCTACGTTCACACTGCAGGTCTTGATGCTCAGTTCCGATTTTTAGAAAAAATCCTATCTTTTTGTGTGAACGTTCACATTACATTTTAAATGTGACCTGCATCAGACTCCTGTGTGAACGCTACACAGCACTGATGTGACGCGCATGCGCAGTAAAAGACGTGACGTCTCATCAGCAGGCTTGTTTGTTTACAGAGCTAGCATGGATGCTACATTTTGCACNCTATAATAAATCAACACTTGTTGAAAAATAATTATGACAATGATTTGGTTTTGAAATAGAAATTCGGAGAAATGATCATCTTTTATTTTGAAACTCCGAACCGGATGTGCTAATTTGATGACCCACGTTTCCCAAAACGCGGAAGTTTTTGTAAACAAACTGGTTTTTGGAGGAAAACAGGAAGAAAACAAAGAAAATGTCAGACGACTGTGAGCCCGGAGTGGTTTTGGTGAAGGAGTTGGAGGTCCAGCCGCCGCCGCTCGGAGGACACGCGGACTGGATGTCTCGTCTCCCGGAGGAGCTGCTGGACGTCCCGCTGTGGAACCTGGCGATTCCCGGTAAACACAACAGACAACTAGACCGTCCCCCAAAACATAGAGAAGACCAGTGCATTCACCAAATTAAAAGTGACTGATCTCATAATTTTGAGATAAGATGTTTTAATTACGAGATCCTGGTCTCCTAATACCCATCAGAGAGTCACAGGAAGAAACAATGACAGATTTTATGCTTTTATTTCCTCTTAGGTATGAAACGGAGGGAAATATTGAGTTTATTTAATGTGGATGATGGTGTGTCTGCTGGCTTGTTAATAAATCCATCTGCACACCAGTCTACGGGAGTTATTTCTGTTTAGAGGTACTTCCTGTTTCAGTAACTATGAATTTCAAAATAAGAGTTCCATTCAATGCGGTCAGAACAAAACATTACAGATGGCATTGACATGATGGAAGTCGCTCTCCTCCTGCAGTACGGGATGATTTGTGTAATGCATCTGAAATGTGTTGCAGAGCACACACTTTGTCCTTTTTTAACACTGCGGATTATACCTTTATTAAAGGAGACCTATTATGTTCCATGAACAGGTTAGGATACATCTGTGGGCTCTACAAAACATGTTCATTAGATGTAAAACACAAACTCATTTTCAGATCATGAGATTTCATCTGGTCAGTTCTTCCTGTTCTGAGCTCCTTTCAGAACGAGCTGTTTATACAAACAAGCTGCTGTTAGCTCCGCCCTCCAAACAGCATTTATGTTAGCTCCGCCCTCCTAACAGCATTTATGTTAGCTCCACCCTCCAAACAGCATATGTTAGCTCCGCCCTCCCAACCTTTTGTTTACGTTAGCTCTGCCCTCCAAACAGCATTTATGTTAGCTCCGCCCTCCAAACAGCATTTATGTTAGCTCCGCCCTCCAAACAGCATTTATGTTAGCTCCGCCCTCCAAACAGCATTTATGTTAGCACTTCAGATAAAATGTTTAGTGGTACAAGCAGATGCACAAAGGTACAACATAAGTAGACAGGTAGGGACAGAGTAGAGCAGTGGTGTCCAAAGTCAGTCCTCCAGGGCCAGTGTCCTGCATGTTTTAGGGGCTGCCCTTGTTCACCACAGTTGAACCTAATGAGTACCTAATTAGTAGGCCTCTGCAGACCTTGAATGCAAACTGAGGAGGCCAACTGATTAAGCACTCCTTTGGTTCAGATGTGTTGAACCAGGGCAGCTCCTAAAACATGCAGGACACTGGCCCTCGACGACTGACTTGGAAACCACTGGACTAGAGTATCAGACCAAAGTGCCAGGGAGGCCAACACACGTCCATTGCCGCTTCTTGAAGCCAGTGTATTGGAGGGGTAAAGGCCACCGGAGGCCCCCCAGTGGTCTTTCCAGAGGGGCGGTTAAGGTCCATGCCGGAAGCTGCTCGTCTCCTCTGCTGTCAGTCATGGCCTTGCACTGTTATTCAACATTACTATGTGCTAAATGACAAATCATGTTCACACTGAACAACAATACTAAACACACAACACATCGCCATCATCTGCAGATTTGTGAGTTTCCTCCTTGGTCTGTCGTGACATGACGCTGAAGCTAAAAATCGCTCAACCTCTGATAAACAAACACGTATTTAATGG